GTTATAATTAGTTCCCTAGTTCAGACCAATGTTAAATTACCGTAAACATAATTTGTGAAGGGCTTTTATTAATTTTCTTTTCGATAATGATGAAAAAAATGGCTTCTTCTTAAGGCGGGCGTAAACATGAATTTAAGTGAAATTTTAGGAAGTTTAAAGAGGGAGTAAAAGGGAAAAAAAGGGGTTTGGAACACCAGCAGACAGTTGATTGCCCCCAAAAGGGCACCCCGGGTTGGTGGGCAACTGTTTGGTGTACGTCTACCAATTGCTAAATTCAAATTCTAATTTTAAAACAACACCAAATCTTCAAATTTCCTATTTCCATAAATTTTACTAATCCTTTGAGAAAAACTATTTATCTCCAAATATACCCAAAAATCACCAAAAAAATTACAAAACAGCCTAAAACATAGCTACATGAAATGAGCAGAGAGATTTTTCACCGCTTGAAACGTGAACCATAATACCCAGCAAAAATACGGCCTTCATGTTAAACCCCACCTAAACGTACACATATCAAGGTTAGAGTGCAAAAACCATACCCTATTTATGACCAAAATGGCCAAAATCAGCTTCAATCGGTACCCTATTTATGACCAAAACGGCTGAAAAACCATACCCTTTGGGGCCGCATATACCTATATAGCCCATATAAGGGAGTACCCCTCCGGGAAAATAAGCCAGTAAAATAATTTGATCGTCTTACGAGACAACCGTCAATCGCCAACTGGACTTGAATAAACTAAACTTTCGGTTTAGAGTGCCAGAACGATCGCTTCAAAGTTCGCTTTTTCAGTAGTTTAATATAAAAATTATAAGGATCTAAAAGTTTCTAGTCCAGAGCAATCCGGCCCCATTGTCGCTCATGAAAACGTACTCTTTTCCTAAGGAAATTTAAAAAAAAAAAAAGAGCTCAAAGCTTGCGGATGAAAATGCAAAATGCTGTGCTGTATTTGAAAGGAGCTACAGTTATTTACGGCTACTTAGCAGCAAGCGTCCGAACTAGCGTCAAAATTTGAAAGACTAAACTTCTCCCACTGGTTCTACTCTAGAGTACAGGATAGAACATCAGGGCAAGCTTTTAACTAATGACTCATCGGGTGAGCGTTGTAATTGTTGAGGTTCACTTCGCTGAGATGGCCGAACATTGCTGTTTAGCGATAAAGAGTTACTACACTCCATGTAAGTGTTGTTTGAGCATTTTTACAAAAATAAAGCTACTCATCATAAACAGAGACAGTTCAAATAGTGTTTTCTGTCGTTATTTTACATCTATAAAGTATAATTTCTGCCTTTATAACAAATGTAATTCGAATAATGTCTTTTATCGAAGCATTCGCTGGGCTGAGAACTCGTTTACTTCGCTACGCAAAACTCTTTATTTTAGGTACAGTTTTAACACATCTGTTGTCAACAATCAACTCTATGCAGTTATGTTTACTGCAGACCATTGCGTTTGTCTGAGTTACAGGGAACGTTATTTGGGTCAAATTTGTCAAAGTTCCGAAGCAAAAATTTGAAATCCAGCTTGCCGTGCTTCTGTACTCTGATTAAGCACGCTGTTTTAGCCAAACAGAGTGCGTAGTTTGTTTAATTACAAAGCATGTATGGGAACGTTATTACAGAGAATGTATCGGCACGTTGTACATAATTGCTAATTTCTCGGTTAAATTTGCAGTTTTAGTAACAGCCACGACGACTTTCAGAAGGAAAGGTCTTTAATATATTCGAGCAGTGTACAAATTAACAGTGTGTCCACTGGACACACTCTTAATTTGTACACTGCTCGAATATATTAAAGGCCCCTTCTGATATTTAGTGGAAAGTCGTCTCATGATGAGAAAACCACGCAGAACCAGGCAGGAGGTGATACAGCTCAAATCAACGATTTTGCTCAAACTTAGCACAGACGTTGGGTTTGGTGAGTAAATTATGATGGAAAAAAATTAGGTCAAAATATTTATTCCCTTGAAGTAAGGGAGACCCCTCCAAAAATGGTTGTTTGTCACTAATTTATGCATATTTAATCAGCTGTCTCTGGTTTAGTATTT